ATACCAGTCCCAGACGCCAAATTGGCACGGAGAGGCGCGACGCTTTTGCATAGACTGAACAAATAGCGTCTTCACAAAGAAAACATTACACCGCTTTGGAAGGGCCTATCAAGGTAGCAGTTCCGACTGCACTTCATGCGAAGATGTAGAAGACATTGACCACATCTTTTGGCATCGCTCAGAATACGACGATGCCCGGAAAACACTCATGGCATCAATTCGGACGATATGCGTACACGTGACTACACCTAAGGGATTATTAATCCCAACAGTCACCAGGCAACAAGCGAGGCTAATGTTTCGAGCATTACTAGATTTTTTTTATCAGACAAACCTTTCGGACCGTCTTTAACGCAATAACAAGTCGGCAGCCGATGAAATGTCTTCTTGTGGTTACCTGCGAGGTGAAAGTTCATGAACATGTGACAAGTGATAGCGGTGCCAGCCATGGGACAGCAGTAGCGCCGACTGCTCTGTACCTGTGTGAACGAATGTGTGACAGACAAGCGTGACAGACGCTTTGGATGTACCGTCTCCCATTTCTTGACTGGGGACCTCTTCGCATGGCCTTATAGCCGATTCACACGACGGACCGAATCGCGATTTTCATCCGCGGACCGTGTACAACGTGACCGGCACGTCACCGATTCCTGCGTTCCGCGCCTCGTCCGCGGAGGCGCGGACTGATAAAGTCGAGCGCCTTTTTCACTCGCGGACGTTTGGCGGCAGATTGACTTGGAAAGCGTTTAGTCTGGCAACGGTACATTGTTTTTTTGGTTTTTTGCTTCTGGGCGTTCAAAACAAAATGGCGCATCGTTTTGTTTTGTGCGTTGTTGGTTCATTTTGACGCGCGATTCTTGGTTCCACGAGTGAAAGAAACTTCAGAAACTTGTCTGGCTGACGCGACGCAGGTTTCGGTACTCCTCCGGGTCCGTGTCAAGAAGCTCCCGTCAAAATTTGTCTAGCACGCCGCGGTAATTCTTGCACGTCCGATCAGGATTTCGCCGAGCAAGACCTCTCTTGTAAGTCGTGAATGTGGTGTGCTTGAGTGTTGTGCACGAGCGTGGAGTGCGTGAAGGCATCTCCAAACGCCCCTCCGCGAGCCCAGAACTTCGTCGCGTCTACGCCGAGGCTTTCTCGAGCAGGACCATGCCTGTGTCACTGTCATGCTTTGGGTTAGTAAAGTTAGTGGCGCTTGGTGCGAAGCCTGCCCCGGTGTTTTGTCTCGATCTGTGCGTAACAGCAGCGTACGATTCTCAATCGCGGTAGCAAACGTCGATTTCTCTCTTGGACAACGGTGCCACGGTGCGATGTTGGAGTTTCGCGGTACTGTGTGTGGGGTGGCGAGCTGGATCGGTCCGTCCTCGCTGGCGTCTGCTCGTCGTCTCCCTCGTGTGGATGCGCTTGGGAGACGGATGAACCGCGGATATGTCATCACGTGATCAATCCGTCCGCGGATCAGTCCGTCGTGTGAATCGGCTATTAACGACATCTACCAACGCACTACCTCCCCCTTTTTGCTTTTCCCCCTGCAGATATTTTGATTGGCGTGCTTCCGCATTCGCGGCGAAATAGTTAGCCAAATCACCTCCTCCCACATCTTTCTTTCCCCCTCCCCTTTGCCTCTGCGAGTTATTCCCCTGCCTGGAGGATAACAGTCTGCATAGGCGTTAAGCGATAATCCCCCTTTCCCGTCATATACAACCCCCCCCCCCCCCCCCCTCTCCAAGTACTGCGCCGCCATCTTCTTCCAAGGGCCGTTCGAGACACGGGCCTCGTGCACTGGCACATTTCACGCAACTTGCAAGACAAACGCAAACACATCGAGGGGCTTTATATCAGCCCGTTCACTGTACATAGGGTGCGGAATCAGTGAACGTTAAGTGCAGATTACCTGCGGTGGAAAGAAATTGTATCAAAATTTCTAAGGTAAACACAACGTTTGCTCCAAAAATCGGCGCAAAAGAGCGCCGTTTGAAAATGTTCCTTCTTCGTTGTTCATGGAGGCGTTTACGCCGGTAGCGTTAATAACGCTATTCGCCCGCACCTGCTCGCGTGTAGGCAACAGAAAAACCGATTTCGAACGCTGCTCTTTCGTGAAGTGGAATGGAATGGACACACTTTATTTAGATGGGGTGTGTGTCATTGAGCCTCGTGGTCGGTTCCCCTCGTCCAGGGCCCCGCAGGCTTGAGCTACCCATCTAGCTCGATCGAGCAGCATAGGGCTATGAAGCGAGGGGAGCGGCCTCCCAAGAGGATTGAGATGCATTGTAAATGGGCCGGATCCCCACTTCGACCGGAGTATGGCAGGCCCAGGTGCAATGGTAAAGGGGAGTGACAGCCCGGGCCTTCGCACTGGTATCGGTCGGGGAAGAAGCGGTGAACGTGGAGGAGGATAGGAAAAAAGATGATCTGAAGTTTCCTCCAGTCTGTCGCGTCTTGTTGTATGAGGGATTTGTGGGGAGGGGGTTAGGTTCTGCGCAACATGCGCTAGTGCTCAGTAACCTGGGTGTGCGTATCTATGGGGGGGGGGGGGGGGGGGGGCGTTAAGTGGGTCGCTAGTCGAATCCCTCTCTTGGTCGTCAAGATTCCAGTCATGTAGTCCTTCTCGAGGCAATGCCCGAAGAGTCGCGTCTCGGGCTAAGGCGTCTGCCGCCTCGCTGCCTGGAAGGGAAGCATGGCCGGGGGTCCATACAATCCGTACCAGCGGTAGTTTGTTGTAGCCTAATGGGGAGAGTTTTTTCTTTTTCGCTTCAGGGGGAGAGCAGGCCTCCAGCCCAGGCCTTGCACGCGGCCTGTGAGTCAGTCAGGGTGGTGACCGTGGTCGTGTCCGAATCAAAGTTTGGGTGTCGTGTGTGGTCGATGCCGCCAGTGCTATTGCGGTCTCCTCGGCCTCCGCGCAGGTGGGAGGCGCCACGAAGCGAGGTGACGGTTCCGTTGCAGCCGTTTGAGTCACACACTGCGACGCAGCGGCAACCTCAGGGCGAGGTGTACGACGCCGTGTCCGTCTACAGGGCGTCCGGGTAGTGGTGATAGCGTCTGCGGAGATAGCGGACGCGCGTGAGTCGCCTACCTGCGTGCGCCTGCGGATGCATGTTCTTGGGGTGGGCATCGACCCGTACCTTTGCTGCGATAGTCGGTGGTGCGAACTACTGCCGTCCCGCTTCGAGTAGTGTGGTCGGGACTCGGTAGCCAAGGCGGGGGAGGAGGGCCATGCCGGTCGTCGTGCGACAGAGCCGGCTCCTCTGCCCGGTCTGCTGTACCTCAACGAGTTCATCGACCGTGTTCTGGAGGCCTAATTGAAGGAGGCGTTCTGTAGACGCGTGTTGCGTGAGGCCGACTGCTGCCTTGGCTGCTGTGCGGAGCGTGGCGTCCATCGCTTTGACGTCGCGGCGGCGGAAGTTGTGGAAGGGGGTGATAAATAAGGCGGCTCAGGAGGAGCGCCGGGACTATCTTGACGCTGTTGCTTTTCTTGAGACCCCTTGCGCTTGTTGGTGACTCGGCGGATCAAGTGAGCTATCTGTCTTCTGTCGGAACTGCTTGCGCAGTACCTGGATGGTGTACGTGGCTAATTCCCGTCTCGTTGCAGTTGGAGACCCAGGATTCTGGAGGCGTTCCACTATCGGGACCGGGTTCGCCTTCAATAGACACCTCAATATTCTCGTTGATCTTGGTCCGGGCTGTACCACGGATCAATAAAAGCTCTTACTGGACCACTGAGCATAACAGGGCGGCCGCTCGGGCGTACCGTTGGGTAGCCTCTGCTGCTTCCCGCGGCGCGTCCTGGACCTCGCCGCCTGAGCAGCTCTTCATCCAGGCGCTGATGTCGTCCGCGTAGAGCGCGTGGTAGACGCCTGGGATCGCGTTGAGTATTGTGGGGAGCCCTGCCATCGCGATGTTGAACGGGGTGGGTACGTTAGAGGCTGGTACCCTGGGTGGTGCCCCTATCCGTGACTGGGATGAGGTCAGGTCGTTGGTCTTGAAGGCCGAGGGGGGCGGTTCGGACCGCGAGGAGCGAACGCACGTAATTGTACGTCCGCCTCCCGCACCGTGCGCGGGACAAGCCGTCGAAATATGCGTCGTGCGGCACGTTGTCTAAAGCGCCCTTGAGGTCAAGACTCACTCAAGAGCCAGCACCGCCCTGGTCTAGGCCGTGCCAGTGTAGTCGAGGACGTCTCCTTTAAGTTGTAGGAGGACGTCTTGGGTGGAGAGGTTCGGCCGGAAGACAAACATAGAGTCTGGGAAAAAGCCCGTTGACTCTAGGTGCGGCTGAAGCCGGCGTTGCACCACGTGCTCCATGCGTTTACAGATGCACTAGGTGAGGGAGATGGAGCGGGGGTTTTGGAGCGACAGAGGTCTGTCCGGTTTGGGAAGGAGCGTGATGTCTCGTCGCTTCGACGACGCGGAGTTGGAAGTATGGTATGAGAGCCGTGATGGAGCCATCGTCAAGGCTTTTTAGGAGCCTGTACGTGACGCCGTCGTCGCCCGGGGCGTTGCTACGCGAGTTGTTTTGGAGCGCGTTCCCGACCTCCTGCTCGATGATGTCCGCGTCGAGGGGGTACGGTGTGTCGCTGTCCTCATGTGGGTACGGAGCGTATGCTGGGCGAGGTCTGACCGCGACGAAGCGGTCTCTGCGCTACGTCCAGAGCTGGTCGCCGGTCGCGTTTTTCGGGAGAGAGCGGAGGAGTTTAGTGTGGCCTTGCTCGACTCGATCCGAGACGTAGTAAGGATCGAGCAATACGCGCAGCAAGCTCGTTTTCTTCGTGCCCAGTGTGCCCTGCAGCTGGTCACAAAGTGTGTGCAAATTGGCTGGGGTTAGCTCTTCGGCGTATTGTTCGGCCTCTTGTGTGAGGCGAGGGACACGCGCACAGAGTTCGCGGTTGTGTTTTTTTTTTCTTCTTTACTTCCTCGTCAGACCGCGACGTGCCTCCCAGAGATGGAGAAGGCGGGGGTCGATAATGGGTGCCTTGTCGGTAGCGTAGACCTTTTTGGTCGCCCGTTCAACGTCTCTTTGCCTGTAGCCGTTGGACCCACTGGTCGAGCGCGTCGTCGTTGTTGATCGTATGGTCCGCGGTTGATGTAGTCGTGCTGATATGACGGAACGTGTGCCAGTTCACCAGCCGTTGCGGCCGGCTCCGCTTGCTGTTGAGCGCGACGGGCACCTGGGTCGCGAGAATGAGGTGGTCCGAACCCAGGCTCTCCCCGAGGTTCGTCCAAGTGCACTCGTCGTGCATTCTAGCGAGCGTGAGGACCGGACAAGTGCCGCGGCTAACACTGGTACCTATCCGATTTGGTTGGTCGGGCTCGTTTCGGAGAGTCAGCCCGTGGACATCGATGGCGTCCATCAGCCGTCTCCTCTTTATTGTGGTCTTGGCATAGCCGAGCGTGGGGTGCGTTGCATTGAAGTCGCCCACCATCACGAGGTCGTCAGTCATCTAGCGGGCGGCCCGTATCGCGTCCCGGAAGAGGTCGTCGAACACGTCTCGCGGTCTGCTCGGAGGGCTATAAACGTTTAGTAGAAACTCCCCCGTGGCAGGAACTCGAGGAAGACATGCGGCACTGGGCTATTGAGTGTGCGTGCAATTACCGGGATATGTTTTGCTACGAGTGTGCAGACGCGAGGTTTGTCCTCCACTTCCGCCAGCTCCGGTCTCAACGCAAAGTAGCCCGACAGGGCAGGTACGCAATCCACTTCCTGTAGTGACACGGCGTCTGGTTTGTGTTCCTGTGTGGCGATGAACTGTGTTAGGCTACCGCTCTTGCGGCGATACTCCCTGACGTTCCACTGCCACACTCGTATTGAATTCGCGTTGTTTGTGGTTTGTGTTTGCCAAAAGCTACTGTTGGGTGACTTATTTATCGTGTTCATTGAAATTGTGGGTTGGTTTCAGTGCGGGGTCTGGTTGGAGATGTGATTGAGTTGTTGCTTGTGTGGGAGAGAGTGCGAGGGGCACGAATCGGGACGGTTTGTGTTTTGTTGATTACTGCCCGTCTTCATGGTGGTGTTGGTTTTTAGGGACGTTGACTTGCGTGGTGGGAGACGAGGCGGAAGTGGGTTCAGGGACTGGGCGATGGTACGGGTGCACCCATCTTGTTTCGCGGAAGTCGTGCTCGCTGTGTGCGTCGATTTGTAGGATAGGGGTCTTGCTCTGGTTGCGGGAATTGCGTCGGAGGTCGCTGATGGTGGCCCAGACTAGTTGGGGGAGCTGCTGCGCAATTTGCTGCATTACTTGGTGTTGTACCTTCCTGATCTCCTGCCGTAGATCCCGTAGTACCTCTGTTATGAAGGGTGGAGGAAGTAGACGATCCCATCTAGATAATCGAACAGTAAGCTCTGTATCATTCTGGCTATTTTTCTACTATTGGATTTCTTTGAATTATTCCAAGCATTCGATTAGATTCCTAAATACATAGCGATCAGTTTGATACTAATTACATAACTTATTAGAATACCTAAATTATTCTAAAAGTCTGATAGAACCGACTGCGTTCCGAACTGCTATCTTGAAAAGGTAGCGGGGGGGGGGGGGGCGGGGCAAGCCCATTTTATAAATATTAAAGTCACTGGATCCTAGGGAAGTAGCACCATTGCCTTCCCTACCTGCTAGCCGGACACAAACGGATACTAACATACAGACGACCCAAACCTCGCAAGGCGATTGGCTAATCGGCCTACGTTGCCATGGAAATCGCCATCTTGGTCCATTTAAATCTTCGAAGCTTCCGGGGGGTCGTTCTAAACCAGTCGCGCCAAGATCACCATGGAGCATCATCGTACTGGAAGCGTTCCTCTTCAATATAAGAGTCTTTGGCACTTCGTATGCGATCAACTTATTAATCAGGCCCATCTCCATGGATCTCTTACAATTATATTGTTCTTCTTGCGCATTTCAAGACAGTAAACTTATTTTTCAGTGCCTCCAAGCACCGACACAGCAACTGGTGGTGGTACGAACGTGTACGCCTGTTTCGCCGGTGTGTAGTTAGCAAAATCTCGGTATACAAAAAACGACTCAATAAAGCTACCCGTCACCAGCGAATCTAGATAGGCTCACTAAGAACGAAGGGGTCAAGGAGGAATTGCTCATTTCATGGACCAAGATGGCGACCACACGCGGAGCTTGGCGTTACTTTCCCAGGATCCAGTGACTTTAATAAATATATACCATCAGATTCAAATAGTTTAGCAACCTTGAGCTCTCTAACACCCGCGCGAGTGTTGTTCTTGCTACTAGGGGAGCTTGGACGCTTCAAACCACGCGGGGGTAGACACCGGAAAAATTGTATTGCTTGACTCGCAAACTCCAAAAAAGAGGTAAAGACACCCTTTAGATTGTCGGGACATACAAATACGTGACAGTGATTGTATTTAGGCGCGAGCATTTTAATTCCTTTAAAATTAGTCAATGCAATAACCACTTGATTTTCGAAATGACAAACTCCACACCTAACTCGAAATCCTTAATAAGACGACCAGAAAAAGAAGAAGAAAACAGCTCTTCCGAATGCTCTGCAGACTCCATGGAGAGTCAGCGACGGAAAAGGAAAAAGGAGAAGAAAAGGGCCGCGAAAGCGAATGCCCCCCCCCCCCCCCCTTTCCAAAAAAACAAACAAACAAACTTGCAAGAAGATGATCTGGAAAAGACAAACAATAATGACGCAACAAACGAAATAGATGAATCAATGGTGACAACACAACCTGAGCCGGCCCTATCTGAGGTGCTTGGGGGGACCGCTGCGGGTGCTTCCAGGGGGGAGGGGGGAGGGGCTTCCGCGGGTCCTGCCGCGGGTGCTAGCGGGTGCTGCTGCGGGTGTTCCCGCGGGTGCTTCCGCAGGGGCCTTCGCGGGCGACCGTTTGGGGGTCGTTCCGGGACAGACTGGGGAAGGCACAGATGGAGTGCATAAAGGCTGTTACCCCACTGCCAGCACTAATGACTAAAGAATAGATCGAGGCTCTGGCACTAAGTGTTCAAAACTTAACTAACATCGCTATCGATCTAATCGAACGTAATGCATATTTGCAGGGGAGGCTAAATGAGCGAGCACTCCAGCCGCCTCGAGGCTATGCTGATGTGACTAAAAACACAAATAAAGTACAAACTAGCAATCAAATAAGACGGACAATAACAACACCTGAAAACAAGAGGTGCGAGCCAGAAAAAAGCAGCACTTCTGGTATTCCCAAAGACATCGCAAAAGGGGAAGAACCTACTGCAAGTAATAATCACCCTGAGGTCGGCGATCCTCCCTGAAGAGTTGGCCCTTATTACACCCGAGTTTCGGACTATTAAGAAAGGAGCGCTGATTTTGAGTACTTCCAAGGAAGGAATCACCAACCTGGAAAAATCAATTAATGGGAGACCACAACTGAAAGAAGAACTAAAAGTAAAAACCCCTTTCAGACGAAACACGCAAGTTAGGGTTGGGGGAATCGTGACAGCTGATTCTGAACAACTAAAAGAAAAACTGCTAAAAAAAAAAAAAAAACTGACAGGAACGATCGAGGAGGCTCAGGAGACACAGATTATGCGGACGTTTGCGAACCGCAACGTGCTGGCCACAGTCATCTTCGAGCTCAGCCCGGGGATGTTCAGGGAGTTGCAGGGAAAAGGAAGGGTCTTCCTTGACTGGACTTCGTGTCCTTTTGAGGAAAACCTCTATATAACCTTTTGCAAAAAATGCGTTTTGACCACTTGTTGGCATGTTGCACGGCATCTCCTCGATGCCACAATTGTAGCAGAGACCATCTGGGGGAAAACTGTCAAGAGCAGATAAAAAGATGCATAAGTTGTACAGATAACGCCATATTTGCAAAGCGAAACCTTACACATTCGCCGCTCTGGCAACAGTGTCCAAGCTGCCTCGCCCAAGTGGAGGGGTTGCAAACAAAAATCACATACCACTAAAAAAAAAAAAAGAGGGAACACCTTTACTATACAGACATGACTGCAACGTTACACATTTTGCAAATAAACCCAAATCATTCAATTTTAACTACAGAACATCGAAAAATCACCGTAGACAAAATCCAACCTAATATAATTGCAATACAGGAACCCTATTGTTTTAAAAATAAAATAATTGGATTTCGTTTAAAAGACCACATTATACAATACACTGAACAACCAGGCACAGCAATGATTGTACGGGACAAGGAAGTTGATCTTTTTCCTGAAACAATAACCCGAGATATAATTTCACGTACAATAAAAACAAAATAAGAATCATTAATATATATAAATCTCCAACAGAAGATATTACAAACATGCTGCACACAATAGAAGAGATCCTCACAACACGTGAGAATCTACCAACAGCCATCTGAGGATTTTAACGCTAAATACCAGGCATGAGGGGGAGGATCCTCAGACAGTTCAGAAGATATTCTCGCCCAATTCGCAATAAATCATTCAATTTTCATTATAAATAGCAGTGATCAAGGTCCAACTTATTCCTCAACAAATGGCAATAGTTACATTGATCTAACCTTAACCAATGACTTACTTTTCTCAGATATATATTATTGGGAGATTGTAAACATCCATCATAAATATATCCTCACAACTTGTTTCGCCGAACCCATGATGTCAGCAAAACGACTTACAAGAAAAAAGGCGAAATAAAATTACTTGAACACATCAGAGATGACAGATGGATGTTCAAACTAAAATATCATCTATTACAACTAAAGAAAAAACTAATATATATATATATTAGATCAATTATATGTAAAGTAGTGAAACATTTCAAAAATAGTGAAACATTTCAAAACACTAACATGATGGAATGAAGATTTAGAATTAGAACGGAAGAAAGTAGGCGCTCTACGTAAAAGATACCAAAGATGTAAAAATAATACAAGACATATGCCAGAGGTAAGATACAAAACTGCATTACATGATTATAAAAACACGTAAAAGAAGCAAAAACGACATCTTAGCACAACTTCTGCACAGAGGTATCATATATAAATTTATTTAATACACCATACAAAATAGCAACTAAGAAAATGAAACATCCTATATTAATTTCTCCTATCACTGACTCTAATGGAATTGAAACACAAACACTAGAAGAATCCATACAACTCATCTTAGAGTATCACTTCCCAGAGGATAAAATAGAAACATACCCAGAAGAACAAAAAAACTACCTTGTCTCTACTAAATGAAGGAACTAACACAGAAGGTGACGTACCTTTCTTTCACTGAAACAGAACTTAATTTAATAATAACACAGCTCGCTCCCCGAATTTCACTGGGCACAGATAAAGCCACTACAAATGTTGTCAAAGCAATAGTTAATAACCATAAGATACTAGTCCCAAAATATATTCAATGCATGTTTAAGATTTAGCTATTATCCAAATATTTGGAAAACATCAAGAGTCATATTAATACAAAAAAAGATCAGTTAACTACCGAACCTAGAAGTT